CCGCCGCCCTGTGCCACGCGCCGTCCGCAGGGAGCTGCGGTATTCAGGCGCCTGTTTCGCCTGGACTATATTCCTAGTGACAAGGTGCGCGCCCCCGCGCGCGGCCCCTGCCCATTTGTCTGATGTGAGCCCAGCCGGCGCGAGCCTGCGTCACCCCTTCCCTCTTCATGATCAGCGGCATGCGTCAGCAGGTGGCCTTGGGACTCTGAACCCTGCCTGTATCGGGGCTCCCCTGCTACGCGCTCCCGTGCGTCTGCTGTCTCATGCGTTCGTGCGTCCCTTGCACCCGAACGCCGTGCTTCCACAGCGTGATGATGTCACCAAACTGCCACGTGGGTACCCGGCTGAGGGCCGTGTGCTCGTTCATCGGAGACACATGCGTGGCGCTCGTGCCGGCGGGCATCCTGGTGGGTGCTTGGATTTTTCAAACGACACAGCTAGCTGCGGTTTGACAAGCAAGACAGCCAGCAGCAGTTCGGCAAACACAGCCGGCGTTGGTTCGGCAAACAATGCTGCCGGCAGCAGCTCAGCGGGCTTTGGGAAGGGGCGCGGCAGCAGCCACCCTGATGGGTACTCAAAGGCACGAAGTCAGTGATGCTTTGCGGCTTGGAGCGGGCCCGGGACATGCAACCACCCGGCCTAACAACATCCTCTACAATTAGCAAGCAGGCTTCCGCCAAACGATGCGTTTTCAGCGGAACCAACAGCAGCACAGCATGGACTATGCCGCTGGCGTTGAATGCGACCCCAACCCCAGCCCTCCTCGCCCTCTCCCGCATGCCTGCGCCGCCCCGCGCCCAGTGCACTCTGGCCAAGCTCATCGGGCCGGCATCCGCCCACCCCGCGGTGCTCGCGCTGTACTGCACCGTCGGCCCCGCCCTGCTGGCGCTGCTCACCATCAACCGCGCGGCGACGTGGCCGCCCATGCTGTGGGCATCGGGCATGGTGACCCTGCTGGTATTTGGCAACGTCGTCATCGCCGGTGGGTGGTGACGTGGGGGTCACGTTGTCACCTGAAATTAGGTGACATCCTTCTTTTGGGCATTCGGGTAGCTGAGCAAGCTGCGACATCTGAGGATCGGCTAACTGCAGCTGTCGTGGGGTAAGGGGGGTATTTTGTGGGAATGAACGCCCACAGTACCAGGGTCGCCCCTGGATGCCGCGCCCCTCGGCGCGCCTAGTGACGCAGCGTGGGCCCCACCTCTGGCTGGCAGCACGTGCCCCTTGAGTCGCCGTTGGACACTGCGCTGCGCTGCCGCCCCACCTCACCGTCTTCCAGGGTACCTGGTGTGGCCCCTCGAGTTGTGGTGGCGGCAGTCTGTCGCGCTGACGATGCTCAGCGGCATTGGCCTGGCCTGCGCCGCGAACCTCGTGGTGTCGCTGCTGGTGGTGCCCTCCCTCGCGAGCGACCAGGCAAGAGCGCGCGACAACACAACTTGTCTGTGTGTGTGCGTACGTGTCTGCTTTCCCACGGGGACGGCCGTGCACATGAAGACGGCGGGGTGGTGCAATCACACGGGCACGCGGGCCGTCTGTTCGGGTGTGGTGGTGGGGCCGCGCGCGTGAGGTGCGCCGCAGCCTGGCCGCGGCACGGGGATCGCGCGTGGGTGGGCCCCATCTCCTGGCCGCATATTCCGCCGCACCCCACCCAACGAACACGTGGGCCGCGGCGCCTCTTGCGCGCGCGTCCATCCCCCCGCCACATCCGCAGGTCCGCCTGGGCCTGTCGGAGGTGCTGCGCGGCGCCGGTCACGCGGCGTCGCGCAACGCGGCGCGCCTGCTGTGCCCGCCGGGCAGCATGCCGGGGTGCGGGCCGCCCGCGATCCTCATGCTTGGCACGCAAGAGGTGCAGGTGGGCGTGAGTTTGGTTCGATCGACCACGATAGCAAACAGCTGGCAGGCACGTGCGGTCCCCTGAGCATGAATGGCGACGCCTTGTCGAGGGGACAAAGACACGGGTCACAGGGGCAAGCGAGCGCCTGGCCAGCGCGTGCGCATGCGGCGGCTGCGGGCCGCGGTAAGCTAGGATTTGTGTGGCAGGGTACAGCGGTCAACCCGCCAGCAGGCTTTAGCGATTTGGTAGGCGAGCAGAGAGCGGCAGGGGCCCATCGATCCATTGATCAATTGAACCATGAATTGAATCGATGCATGAATCTGCTCATTGCAATTTCTGCCTCCACATCAGCTTTGCTGCCCATCCACGAATTCTCACATCGCCCCAGACACACACACACACACACACACACACACACACACAAAGCTGACCAATCTCACGGCTTCACCGCCCCCTCAGCTGCTCCCTGGCCTCATCGTCCCCGATGAGAGCAAAGACGAGGAATTCCTCGTACTGCGGTACCTGAGTCTCAAGGCCCGCCGCCACCCAACATCCCACACCCACGGCGGCCCCCCGCCGCGCCTCGAAGCACCGCCGCCGCCGCCGCCGCTCGGCAAGGAAGGCGCGGCGGG